GAATTGAGGCAGTTCTGAAGGCAAAAGGGGGTCCAACCCGTTACTAGCATGGGGTACCTAATAAAGTGGCCGGTGAGTGTATACCCAGCTATTGTCGTATCTAGCCTAGAGCTCTCAGTCTGGTCAAGAATTGAGTCGACTAAAACCGACTAAAACTATCATGTATCATAATGACTAAAATGCGACCAAGATTAATAATAGTTTTCGTCCTGAAGACTAGGACTAAATCTTATACGGCTGTCCAAAACACCACTGCTGATGACCTCCAAAATGTAATGAATAACATTAACAGCGTGGATTTTCGGTCTTTCCATTACCTCTGCAGATCTAGTCTCTGTTAGCTCTTTGTCGACGGCTTTTCGCTTTTCATTGGCCTCCAGGGACTTCTTCTCTAAGGCCAGAGTGAGTTCCTACATGGGATACATAGATGGCCATTAGCTGAGAAGGAGACAGATAACATTAAAGCTATAAACGTAACTTCTCAACCTTGATCCTGTGTTCATCCTGCTGGGAATATTTGATGATGGTCATTAGGTCGTCATCCTTTTCAGCTGATTCCTTTAAGAAGTTATCCATCTGCTGCTGGTCCCAGTCCATCTGAAGCCTGAGTTCTTCAAGCTTCTGCTGTTGCTTGAACAAGTCTTTCTGTAGATACAAATGATTAAATATAAGTCTATTTTGGCACTGCCACCGTAAGATTTGTTTTAAGTTAATGCAGGATTCAGACCTCTAATATGTCTATCCTCTCATCTGTAGACCTGAGCTCTGTTTCAGTCTGAGCTGTCAGCTGAGCGAAGCGACACGACTCTCTCTCGGTGAGGGCTGACAGATGCTTCCCCACCTCCATTTCTTGTGTGTTTGCCTTGATCAGAGCCTGTAAGAAAACAACATGACTGCTTAAAATCTAATCTTGGCGCCATATCTAAAAAAAACCTTTGTATGAAAAGGCAGAGACCTGCAGACCGCTTCGACCCTCGTTAAAACTGCTGATGAAAACTATGAGGCCACGACAAATAGTTATTTTAAAATATTTAAAACACAAAAAACAAACAAGTGCACTCCCTTGGATGTACGTGTATCACACCCTTAAACTAATATTTTGAAGCATTCGATGACTCATCTCCAATATTCACCCCTCAATAACAGAAATTAAACATAAATCTGCTCATGGAAAAATCGAATATGTTTTTTTATCACGCCTAAAGTCAAGAATAAATATAACGATACAAACATGGGGTGTTGGCGGAATTGTGGATCAATGAATGCTGATCATTCTCACATATTCTGGAACTGTCCTAAAATTCTTAAATTCTGGAAAAATGTACATGGAACTAGGGCTGCAACTAACGAT